AATAATTTACAACAGCAAATACAAAAAATCACACACAGGGAAATGTCAGGAGTCTTGCTCCGCTCTGACTAGAAGGCCAGAGAGAAGAAGTGTGTCTTTAGTGTAGATTTAAAAACCCCTAGGGTCTGGGCCGACCTCACATGGAGGGGCAGAGTGTTCCAGAGCCTAGGGCCAGCTGCTGCGAAGGCTCGGTGCCCTCTGGTTTTGAGCCTGGTCTTGGGCACTATCAAAAGCAGCTGGTCAGCACACCTTAAAGCTCTGGCTGGGGTGTAGCGATGGAGGAGTTCTGCTAAATAAACCTATGCTGTTGTTCTGATCAAAAGTTGTGTTCAATGGCATTAAAACGATAAAAACGCTGCTGAAGGTTAATCCATAGGTTAATCCAATGTGTCTGCGTCACTTAGAAATGATTACTGATAATCCATCTTCATATTTATGTCAATAATGGAGATTTCATACTATTTTCTACAATAGTGTATGACAGCTTCCGGTTTTGGGCATTCTGGCTACGCATCACTCATTCACCAATGGGTAATGTTTAGATGGATTTTAGGAACTTCCCCTCGATTCCATTGGCTCTAACGGTTAAAAAGAGGTGTCGATCATCAAAATCGGCCGAGGGGGGCCAGAGATATGGAAAATGCAACCAAATGACCCCAGAAGTGTTTGTTTTTTGCCAAACCTCTCTAAAAAGGTCAAATGTCACTTGGTTTGCATCAATCTTGATAGAGGGTACTTATTATATGTTATAGTTTGGATTCCTAAAGCTTTTAGTGTCCTATCCCATCATTCAAGGGTGGTTTTCACTATAAGTAATGTTTTTTGGACGGACACTCATTAAAACATTTTTACTATGTTCAATCTGAATTTACTTTAAAATAAAAAAAAATCTATATTGATTCTGACTCTTCTACATCCAACTCACAGATGTGACCTTGCTTTGAGAAAAAAGATTATTAATGTACCCCTTTTAGAAGTGAAGATATGGTCATTAGTTCTGGGAATGTCATTTTCTAACCTGAGACCTGAAACACAGGCTCCGGGCTCAACTGGTTAAGGTCTGTCTGTACTGGATTAACAACGTGTCACGTGTTCTGAATTGACCAATCAGAATCGAGTATTCAACTACCCATGTAATACATATTTTTTTATGTTGTATTTTACAACAGTGTGAACATTTTTTATTCAACTCCATCGTTTATATACATATTTTTATTTAAAAAATGTTATTGGTGTAAATATTATTATTTTATCATTTTTGCGTTATTTTTAATTTATATCAATATTTGTATTAATATATATTTTTTTTTTTATGTAATTATTAATTTTGTGTTCTTTATTCTAACTACTTTTGTTCATACAAATATTTTTATTTCGTTTTGTCTTATCGCTTTATCGCATATTTTTTCTTATGTGTATTTAAATATTTTATTTGAACTCATGTAATGGTGCAACTGTCCAAAAACAGATTGAAAAAACCCGGATAAATAATGTCTTCTATTTCTGATAATTCCCATAACTGACTGGCACACTTTTTTGAAGTATGACTTGAGCCTGTGTCTAAAATATCGAGCCATTTACCTTTCACCATGCAATGTCTCTGATGCTCTCCGCCGCTGCTCTGTGATGATGAGATGGGTTTCTCGTCTGTGTGCAGGAGGACCGGGAGAACGTGAAGATCCTTCCCGCAGGAGAGGGATCGCAGGCCAACCTGAAGAGGATCACAACTCCTTACATGACCAAATATGAGAGAGCCAGAGTTCTCGGGACACGAGCTCTACAGATAGCGTGAGTGGTTTTGTGGAGTCCATATCAATCAGTTTGATGCATCGTCTGAGTCTCACAAGTTAAAGGTCACCTATTATGCAGAATCCACTTCTTCATGTGTCCCCTCTTCTCCATGTCTCTTCTACATCAACATGTGTCCCCTCTTCTCCATGTCTCTTCTACATCAACATGTGTCCCCTCTTCTTCATGTCTCTTCTACATCAACATGTGTCCCCTCTTCTTCATGTCTCTTCTACATCAACATGTGTCCCCTCTTCTTCATGTCTCTTCTACATCAACATGTGTCCCCTCTTCTTCATGTCTCTTCTACATCAACATGTGGGGAGGGGCTCCTTATTTTCATCTAAAGTAACAGACAGAGAATCAGTACTTTGGGAACAGGGCTGAAACAGAGGGGATTATGGGTAATGCTGCAATGATATGTTTGGTGTTTGGAGCCAAACTCTTCAGAGACATGTTCTGTATGTTCGGAGACCTGTAATATATTGATGTAAAACAGTATAACATGGGACCTTTAAATGTATTCCATCATTTACTGACCCCGTCTCCGTCTGACTCTCCAACAGGATGTGCGCTCCAGTCATGGTGGAGCTGGAGGGAGAAACCGACCCGTTACAGATCGCTATGAAAGAACTCAAGTAAGTGTTTAGTTTGATGTATCCTTAATGCTTTAAAGGAGTTTAACATGACGGCATCTTTAGTCCATAATCAGAATCAGGTAGTTTACACACACAGGGGATTTGCTTTGGTGTATAATGCTAAATACATAAACAAAGTAAGAGGAATTCAGTTGTGAAAAGGCAGTAGTTTTGAAATAATGATATATAATAATATATGTATAAAATGCAAGTACAACAAGAATATGACAACAAATAAATAATGTGCAGGTTATCAGTAATTGAAGTGGAAGAGCTTAGCAATCTTAAAAATATGTAGTATTAAAATGTTAACGATTGCACGCTCATGAGCTGTTCGCCGTAGCCTCGCAGCGGAGTTACTGTGGAGCGCATAGAGCAGACCATTCACGCGATAGCAGAGCGAACCGGTACAGGAGGGGTAGCTAATCGATCGCGGACGGATACCAAAAGATTCAACCTAAATGTATCGCGAAATATACTTTGGCGGACGTAGGCTTGTCGCGATAATCAATAAATTGACTTATCGTACGATAAATAAAAATGGACTCGATAACCTTTCTGAGCTCGATAAATTGCCGTTGACATGCGTGTTTGTTTACATCAGGATGTGACCAGCATTTTAGCCTGGCGCTCTGAGGGGCGGGGCTCACACAGCCAGGTCAGGACACTCAGCGTGCAGCAGCCAAATTAATAATATAGAGACGAGTAGGAGACAACGTGTGACTTACTCGAGGGGACTTTGAAGTTAAATGGAATTGGTTGCAAAACCTAATTCCACATCTCCGGTGTGGGAATATTTTGGATTTAAGCCAAATCAACGAGGCGCACCTAGGGACTTGAATGAGCCGTTGTGTCGCATTTGTTTTAAAAAGGCAGCAACCAAAGCTAGCAATACGACCGACCTTAAACTGCACCTGAAACACAACCACCCCATTGCGTGTTCCCGGCTGGGAGCGAACACGGCAGCTGGAGATGGAGAGCCCCCACCTTCCCGACAGTTCCCGATGCATTTGCCCGACAATGCAAACATGTTGGTGTTCGTTGCTCGAAATCT